ATAGTGACTAATCCAAGTTCGGCAGGAAGATTTATACTATCCGGAACTCACGACTGCAGTCATGCACCTGCTTGTATAGCGTCATGGTATTGCTGTGAATGTAGGTGTGCCTCTCTCCTGGCAATAGAGATATTGTCTCCTCCTCTCTCTCTCTCTTAATGTCTGACGCCATTTCGAGGCTCCTCGCCGTGATATTACAGGAATATTGCTAAAAGCGGTGTAAAATCAGACTCACTCACTCATACCTCTTGACTGTTTATGAAAGGTGAATTGGCTCTTTAGTTCCTTATCAGCAGTCGTTAGCTAAATTTATGGTGGGAGATTTGTTAGGATTCCGGATTATTTATTGGTGGCCAGGTAAGCATACCGGTAGTAACAGATGACGAATAGGGTCGTGGGTCGTGAGGTAACTCGGGGGTGTGGGCCGTAGCTCACACTGTCCTTACTAGATCGTCCGGACTCCATATACAGGCAACCGACATGCAGCTTGACAGTCGCTTATCGGGCATTAAACAACCACCCACATAATGATTGGTGCAACTGTGTGTCATCGTAATATTGGTTTTAAGAGTGACTGAACCCCTAAAGTCACCTTGACATGTCCAAGATAAGAGACTGGATTTCAAACAGCTTGGAAGTGTTTTGCAACTCATGCATTTAACAAAATTTAGTCACTTTGCGAGCTGTCTTTAAAGATGATTGGTCTGCGAATTGTGAACTCATTAATACCAGTGTCACTTGAATAGTTTTCATCATCACTTGTCTCCTGGGGTGTTGTGATCCATTTCCAAACCACTGACATACTATTTCCACTGCATTTACTGTGACACTGACAATGTGTTTGACTCTCACAGTGACATAAACACCTACAAGTAGGGGAACCAATATCACAGCATGTATGGCGTGGAGGTGATGACACCGGGGATGTCACAAAGTGTTGCAGCAGTCGTAGTCGTCTACAGACGTTTTGTTTACAATAGTTTCTCATCTGTTTGTCAATATTCCTATCGCCTGATAAACAATGTTTGTATTTCCTCAGAATAGCATGAGATTGTTCTTGAAAATCTCGGCCAGCTCTCCCAGTCTCCTGCATATAGTGGTACGGTGGGGTAGTCTAGTGGTTAAAGCGTTGGCTCGGCACGCCGAAGACCCGGGTTCGAATCCCCACATGGGTACAATGTGTGAAGCCCATTTCTGGTGTCCCCCGCCGTGATGTTGCTGGAATATTGCTAAAAGCGGCGTAAAACCAAACTCAGTCAGTCAGTCCTGCATGTAGTCTTCCACATTGTTAGCAGGTCCATCATGAATTATGTGATGAACCCCTTGTACATCTAGGCCCATGCTGAATGAGGTAGATACTAAAAGCACACGTTTGAAATTGTGTAGGTCAATATAAGCCTCACAAATACTTTAACCGAATCATCAGTTGACTTGTGAAACATATCAAACAATCTGTTTCGATCATCGTTTCTTCCATTTGGGTTGAAGACCACATACGCTTTGTCCTTAAGATTGTATGCAAGGTGGGGATAGAGTCTGTTGATTTGAGACGTTTGTCTGAAGAAAATAATCATCCTGGGTTTATCTGTTCCTTTCTCTCTGATGATGTCCGTTAGCCATGCAAATCCCTGACCACATTACCCGATGCTTCACAAAGCCAGTACTTGGTGGTGTCCTTGTTGGGACTAAGAACTTTGTCACAGTTAGTCATACACAGGCTTTTGAATATTTGTGCTTGTGTTGAGTTGCTGTCAGTTGCTGTCAGTGCAACCACTGGTGCTGTTGCAAGGACCTTAGTTCACCAAGACATCCGCAAGATGGTCTAAACGCATCCTTTCCCTCAGCAGCATTTCCACTTGAAACGCACATCAATGTGTGTTATATTTTGTGGCATTTTCGTACTTTTATGTGTTTTACAATACATTCGTTGAAATATATCTGCCCTGTATCGCCAATTTTGGTGTTGTAGGGCAAACTATAGACGTTCACGCCGATGACTATGGGTGAGGATAGGTCCACGGTAAGGTATACGGCAATGGAGCCGCTGTTAAGACGTCGGCGTACTGTATCAGTACTGTATCAGCCTTCCGCGTGTTCCCAGTCTGGCGTGCTGTTTCGGATGCCTGCATGAAGGGATTCTGTACATGCTTTTGCACAACATGGCGGTCTTGTCGTCTTGTGGTCACCCTGGGTCGATCATTTGTTGTGTTGGTGGCCCGGAAACGTTGCTGCAGCCTGTAGATGGTCCGGACGTTGACCTGGAAGTGATTGGCGACGGCTTGTGCAGTGTGGCCAGCTTCAGGTCTTCCTAGCTCCTGGTTCCTCTGAGCTGTCGTGAGTCGCGGCATCCTGCTGACGTTGTAATGTGAATGTTTCAACCAGGTTTGGTGGTGCATTTTATAGGGCTGGTCCTTGTGAACAGCACATGCAGCATGAGTTGCATGAAAAACATGGAGAACACCGTACCATCTCCGAGATCAGGTTGCGTTTTTGAGACCATTTCCTGGGTTCAATTTTGAGTTTGGGAAGGAATGTCTTTGCCCAGGTAAAGTTGGAGATGTTGTCAGAAATATGCAATCAAAACATTAAATGAGTTTACAGTTATCCGTTTCTGCGAAGGAAAATTCCTTGACGTTTCTTTTGCTGCTTAGTATATAAATTTAACAGTATGATTTTAACATGATAAAAGAAACATATTTTCTTAAAAATGTCAGAAGAAAGAAAAATTTCATAATGAAAGTCTTATTATGACAAATGTAAATGAATTTTTATGTGAAATTACAATGTCAATTTAGATTTTTGTATGTACGTATGGTGTCTTTCTACAGCTTTTAATGTTAAATCTGCTGAATAACTCCTTCATTTGCGATAAACTTCCATATTTTCCGTTGCTGCTATGTTGTACCCATTGTTTGCTAATAGGTCATTTTTGGTATTTTATATAAAAAAGTGTTATTTGATAAACGATATTGCAACAGATTCCTGCTATCTAAATACTTTGACTGATAAATTCGAGCATGCACGAATGTTTGCAAAAATGTACCCTATTATAAATTGAATAAAGAATCATTTCATAAGAACCTGGGGAAATCTAGACTTGCTTCCTTTAGGGCTTAAGCACTGCAGGGAGGTCTAGGCCGTAGGGAAAATAATATGGTTCAGGGACTGTGAGACAGACTAAGCTGGAATATGAGTGCGGCGTTAAACAACAAATAAACAAAATACGTCACAAGTGGTTTTGACCCCAAATCTTGGTTATTATTTGTCTGAAGACATTGTAACATATGATAAAATGTTAATGATTGATTACTTTGTGAGGACTGATTGATTGATTATTGTTTAACGCCGCACTAGTGATAGAGAAACTGGTTGAAAAGAGGCACATGTTCAATGCCATCGTGATGTTAATGAATGGACTTTCCGTAAAAACCCGAAGGGACACTTCATAACTTTTCTTGGTTATTTCCTTGTTCATAGAGTATCTGCACAATGTCTCTCATGAATGGTTTTCCAAGAAACTGCCTATCATATGTACACAAAATATAACCTTTAGTGTCTGCATCTCCAGTTTCAATTACCCGTGAAGGTCCGGGTTAGAATATTGATCTTCAGTAACCCATGCTTGTCGTAAAAGGCGACTAACGGGATCGGGTGGTCAGGCTCGCTGACTTGGTTGACACATGTCATCGGTTTCCAGTTGCGCAGATCGATGCGCATGCTGCTGATCACTGGATTGTCTGGTCCAGACTCGATTATTTACAGACCACCGCCATATAGCTGGAATATTGCTGGGTGCGGTGTAAAACTAAACTCACTCACTCACTCCACTTTCAATACCATTGCATGACTTCCACATTAGATCTATGTAAATCCCTAAATATGTTGTCCATCCATATTCCTTTAAAGATATGCCTCTCTGCATATGATATATATTTGAACGATGATAAACAGAAACAAATTCACTTTGTAAATATAGACACAATTCACGTATAATTGAATTGCTGTTGCCTTGACGTAATTTTGAATAATCAACCTTCAGGTGACCAGCCTCGGCATTTCGAAGGCCACGTGGCATCACAGATAAAAATTAATGTGCCTAAACTCGGGTGAAAATGAAGTGTGCACCCCTCCTTTTCGCAATAGTGTGCACCCACCCACACACACACCCGCCCCCTTTCTCAAAAAGCTGTATCCGCCCCTGCGCCTCTTACGACAAGCAGGGTCGTTGGTCTGTGCTAGGGTATGGAGTTTACGATCACCTTACAACGCTAAGATCGCTTTGTAGCATCACCTTGATCGTTTTGTCTTTCATATTTATATTTTCAGATATCAGACAGATTTGGTATAGACAATATTAGGAGTTGGCAGGGTGCATCAGTATCAGACGCTAGAGTCTGTAATGTTCTAACAGTGGCGAGTCGAAAGCCACATCATTTGGCGACCATGCATAATAGATTGAAGAATATCAGAGGGTGATGGGATAGCCTAGTGGTTGAAGCGTTCGCTCGTCACTCCGAAGACGCGGGTTCGATTCGCCACATGGGTACATGAAACATATTTCTGTTGTTACTGCTGAAATAATGTTAAAAGAGGCGTAAAACCTCATTTACTCACACTGTGTACACTGCATCAAAAAGACTATAAAACAGCACATCTCGGAAGTTTCAATCAATTTCGAGCGATTGTTATCGGGTGCAAAATCTAACCATTCTGCAGCCACATTGGATGTAAGATGTCTTTCGCTGGGTTGCCATGGAAAGCAAAGTTCATTTTGGAGCTGGAATTAACATTTTGATTTTTTAAATTTTGTTTGTTTAACGCCGCCCTCGGCAAACAAAAAAACAACCAATCAAACGTCTGATACCTGCATTACTTCGGGTCTCCCTCCCACATTAACTGACATGCCGTGATATAACTGCAATATTGTTACACTCGCTCACTCGCTGGCCCGCTCAGAAATGGTCTTGTCCGTTATTTACTCACGGCTGTTTTCAGGAAAACTGAGTTATGCCCCCTGCAACATGGCTGCGCCCATATGAAAACATGGTCGTGAAATCTGAATAAGACACTTTACATTAGAAAACAATATTGTCAGGTATGCAATGATTAGTAATACCGTTATGTATTGGATATGTACGTTTTATATATTTACGAACATAAAAACTCAACAGTATTGGTATTTAAGCTAGCAAATCGAAGAGGCCCACGTGTTCTTAACTGTTGGAAGTCCATCGACTCCGTCTTTCCTTTCGTTCACCTGATGTAAATCACACTGGCTCACAGATCTGAGTCAGAGTCACTTTCACTCTGTCTGGGGATCACGATTAAAGGATCTTGCATGCCTTTTCCATTTTCAGGTTTTGTTTATTTATGGGTTTGGGAAGTTTAACCCAAACTTTTCTATCAAACCCTCAGTGATTTTCCTCGGGGTTAGATACTGGTTCCAGGATCTGAACAATCTGTACCCACAATGATTTGTAAGCAAAAGTTTTGACAGACCCTTACCAAAATGTAGAATGACACCATTGTAGTGGAAGCCGCAGTGGCTGAGCGGACTCGGCAACTGACTTTGTGTGCTGGCGATTAGGTGCCTGACTCTGAGTGAAGTTTGTGCTTGCACTGATGACCATGAAGGAACCTGGCCCACGCTAGTGTAGGTGGAGGGAATAGTTTGGTCTCTAGCTGTGTCACAAATATGTTAAAAGATGGTACATATTGTTATGGTGCCTGGTGCTCTGGGCCCACTTATACAAAACGATCTTAGTGCTATGACAACTTTAAGTCTGTGTTAGAGTAAGGGAGTTATGATCATCATAGCGTTAAGGCTGCTTTGTGCAAGGGGGCCTGCATTAGTGAGCATGTAATGCAAGGACTGGACACAGAATCATTATACTGTGTCTAAATGGGGATTTTTAGTGGATTGTATTTTTTTGGCATGTGTGTGAGTGTGCGTGCATGTGTGCCATTGGTCATGTGAAAATATTGGAACCATATAGTTTTACTCATATTCTCAGTACATGTATATATATTCTGGCCATATGTGCCAGTATTTCTAAACTATTGTTTCAGAAAAATATCACAAATCTCTATATCCGCAATAAGAATGAAGCCATCATATTGTTAAAGATTGTCTAATGATGAAGTGTTTTTCTGACATTTCAGCATGGCGTCAGGTAAAAGGAAGCACGCTGAAGATGATCACTTGTCTCTACACAAAAATGCCAAAAAAATAAAGCTGGGAAAAGCATCTCCAGGGAAACAAAAATTGGAAAACACAACCTCTGATCCAAGCAAAACAAAAAGTGTCAATGGCAGAATAACAAACAAGCAGAAGAAGGTCAAGAAACAGAAAGATGCAAAACCGAAAGACTCGCATCCAAAAGAAGAGGACATTGCAAATGAAAATGGTAACATTGAGACTGAATCAAAGCAGAACGGCAAAAAGACATCCAAACATTTGAATAAGTGGCAGCGATATAAGAAAAAAAAGAAACCACAGCCTGGAACTCCTAAACCAGCTTCCACAGGAGGAACAGGAAAGAAAGATGCCGCATCTACAGATTCCACTTCCAGAAAGTCTGGTGTTGCCATTGTTACTGGGAAGCCACATTTGTATAATCCAACTAAGATCCCATCGAGCAACTGGAAGCAGCTTCAAGCGGTAATGATCTTTCACTTCTTTAAATTCAAACATTACTGATAGTCTGTGCCAATGAATTTGTGTCAACTTGCCTGAACCCGTCTCTTGACATTATTTGGTTGAACCTCTCTCTGTGGATCTTACCTGTGAAGATCTGGGTTAGAATTGATCTTCAGCAACCCATGCTTGTCGTAAGAGGCGACTAACGTGTTCGATTGGTCGGACTCCCTGACTTCGTTGATACATTTCATTGTATCCCAATTGCGCTCATCGATGCTCATGATGTTGATCACTGGATTGTCTGGTCCAGACTCAATTATTTAGAGACTGGCGCCATATAGCTGGAATATTGCCAAGTTGCGGCATTAGTGTATGGATCTATAATAGCATAGCTTACCATCCTTACAAGGCTGAAAGAAATTTGACTTAAGATGGGTTACGGACTTGAGGCTAATTGACTGTACTGTTGTTTCAAATGTAGGAATATATTTGAATATGATCACCGGCAGCTGTGACACTATCACTGATGGTGCTGATATAGACATTGGCTTTGTGGTACAAAATCTTATTGGAATGCCTCATGGGTAAAGCATTTGCTTTCACGGTTTCTGTTCTGTGAATATAATATGTGAAACCCTTTTCAGTATTTCAAGATGTAATATTACGGGCTCATTGCCACAAGTTATTTAGAACCACAAAAAGTCTTTTTGTCCCTTGGGGCGGTGAGGTAGCCTTGTGGTTAAAGTGTTTGCTTGTCACGCCAAAGACCCAGATTCGATTCCCCTCATGGGTACAATGTGCAAAGCCCATTTCTGGTGTCCCCAGCCGTAATATTGCTGGAATATTGCTAAAAGTGGCTTATACCATACTCACTATGAAGAACTCTTAATTTCTATACAAACCCACAGAGAGCCCAGATATCCTGCAATGCCATGTGGCTCAGAAACAACAGCACAGACTTGCTTTTCCTTACTCTCATTTAACATCAGAATTGAGAGACAGAAATCATACATGCTTGTCTGTATGCTTATCTCACCTGTTCTGAGAAGTAACTACCCGTGATGCTGATTATCTGTTTAATTCACATGACCTGCCTATTTAAGGGTTGCACTGGTGAAGATCTGGGTTAGAATTGTCGTAAGAGGTGACTAACAAGATCAGGTGGTCAGACTTGCTGACATGTCATGGTATCCCAATTACATAGATCGCTGCTCATGCTGTTGATCACTGATTTGTTTGGTCCGACTTGATTATTTACAGACCGCCACCCTGTAGTTGGAATATTGCTGAGTGCGGCGTTAAACTAAACTCACTTACTCATTCATTTAGGGGTTGTCAGATCTTCACACACAGATTATTCTAACCAACAGAAATATCGGCTTGGCTTTAGATAAGGTTGTCAACCTGTAGACATAGTAAACATTGACTAGAAACTAGTAGTATTGGTGATTTGCATCTTTAACAATTGAATTCTGCAAACACACTTTAAATATGGTTGCATATTTTTCAGAGTGAAGGGGTTATTGAATATTGTGGATGAATATTTTGCACAATTCTTTTCTTTCAAGGACATTCAGAAAACAGCACCTAAAAGGAAACATCCCAGGAAACACCTGAAGAAACAGACCAGTGATGACCCTACACCTCAGAAGGACAGGTGAGTTGTCATGGACATTTTCCATGATGGTCCAACATTTAGAGACAATCCATTGAGGAATTGCTGATTATCTGCCCCTTGCTAATGAATCACGAGTCCCAAACCCTAATTGTTGAGAGACAGGTGATTGTTACTGTGTGGAACGAGTAGGTTATCCTACTCTGCACTGGAAAAGTTGGGGATCATAATCAGTTTGGGGATATTTATTTGAAGTTATGTCTTCCATCTTCTCTCTGAAAGTGTAGTGATTCATGATCCATAATGTTTCTTGTTTAGTATATTTATTACTTATTCTTAAGGAAAACAGTCTTGAAAAATGTTTGAAATATCACCCTTACAGAGAAAGACTTGTACTGTCAACCAGGGCTCTGACAAGTAGCAAAAGCGGACTCGAGTACCCGGGGGATAAAACCCGACCCGGACTCGAGTACCGGGGGTCAAAACCCGACCTGGACTCGAGTACCCGGAAATATAGTATAAAATTTAGTGAGAGCTATGTGCATCTGTTTTAGGCAGTTTACAAAGGAATTTCACACAAGAATGCCGCACTTATAATTTATAACGTCTGTATTGAATTGAAAACTTACACGAATTCTTTCCTTAAAACGCATGGTTGTCAATAGACCGATCCAGTCTGTCAATCAAAACTGGCGCATGCGTCAATTTTGGCCAATCAGCAGGCCGGGGGCACTGTGTGGATTTGTCAGACTTATTTCCGGGGTCAAACGATGCATCAGAAGCGATGTGCTTCGAATTATGCCATTTACACTCGCTATATTTATTACATATTGCTGCGATTGGATGTGTACCTTAACAAAACCATTACGGTCAAGACAACAAAAATGGAGGCGAATCAAGAAACGCGATAGGCCTCTCGATCAGTTAAATGTCTGCACCATCGTTCAGGAAACCTACGCCTGCCTGCTGATGAGAATTTGCACGAATTTGCACACTTTTGCACATGTGCAAAATCATTACCAATTGATGACAACAAATAGCAGTTTAAGACTTTGCAAGTGTTATAAACACGGACAATTCTTGTAACTACAAAATTGTTTTTTATAACGTTTTTAGTCACTACTAGGCATTGAGTTGGTAGCACGCCACAAAGCTCAAAAGAGACAGGCATGAGAAAGCCGTGACACAATGTCAAACAAATCTTCATTTCGGTTAGGTCAACCAAATAGCAAACATGTTACATGAAAGAACAATGTGGCGGATATTGTCCCCTTCGCTCTTAGATATTCTTCAATTTGTCACACATTTTAGGATGTTTTAAGTTTCATAAGCACAGTCTGAAGGCCTACAGTATCTTGTTAACAGAGCAAAATATTCGAGGAGTAATATTTTTATTCAAACGGAAATATTGTCAGTGTCAGCAGTTGCCTATCATGCAATATCCAAGTATTAAAATTAGTTCATATGAGTGCCTATAAAACCATGATTTAAATATTTCAGATTTTTATAAAGAATTGCATGGGACTTTGAACTGAATTACCTTCCTCCAGGTTGATCGAATCTTAAAACTATGTGAGAAGAATGGTGACTTTCTGGAGTATTGGACGGAGTGAAATAAAGTGTATATCTTAATTATGAGAACATTATTTGAAGTTTTGTTACCACATAAATTATTCACATATAATTGTACATTTTAGAGTAATATTACAACTGTAATTTTGATTAATTCACTAGAAATGATATCAAGGTATGTTTTAAGAATCTTGCTTTTTTAGTAAACGTGGAAGGGTAATAAAATTAATAATAATCTAATCAATAATAAATAATTATTTAATTGATTGACATATCAGATTTGTTAGATTTTAAGGCAGAACTAGGCAAACAAACACCATACATATCATGGCAGGACAATCACTTGGTATTAACTTAGTTTCTTGGCTCCTGCTTTTTTAGATGTTTTTTAAATACTACATTTACTAATAAGATAATTCTGAAAGTGATTGCAAAGTATCATAACTCATTAAAGTTATTTCAACATCCAGAAAATTTGAAAAGCAAAGGAAGCATGTTTTGGTCAAACCCTGGTCAGGCATTATCTGGTCCTGGAACAGAATAACTTACAAAAATCTCAGGTGACTTTTCATGTAACGGAATAAAGATTGAAACATATATTTAACCCATATTTGATGTAATTCTTCTGATAAATCATAAGTTTTTTTAGGAGGTTACTACTATTTGAAGACTGAGCCAAAGCTAGTGTTTATTAATATGGTGGATTTGGACAAAATTTAAATTGTTCAAGGTTTGTTGATTGTTATTTGCAAAATGAGCTTCATATTAAATTGCACACTGGTTTGTAGGAGGTGAACGCTTCAGGACATTTTCATGTCTGTTTTCCTAAACCTTTGTTATGACTTTTACCAAATTTTGAATCAACTTTACTATAATTTTTATGACACCAGTAAGTATCTCAGAAAAAGGAAATAGATCAAAATCAGTGTGTTATGTCCCCTAGGGATATGGTCTCAGATCTAATAAAACAAAGATTATCATTGTTTAATTAAGAAGCAATAATTGTATTGACAGAAGGCCTTGAACATAGGATATATTCTTTGCACCTTATTTACACTAGTAGTTAGCAGTTAAACATCTCTGATGAAAAACAATAGATCTACATTTGTATTTTGTGTAACATTCTATTTCAATGCTAGTTAATTGTTCAATAACTGTGGATTCTCTGTTCCAAAATTTTGCATCACATGTTTCCTATTTCTGGAAGATGGGTCAGCTAGTGTACAGGTGCAGACTGTATCTTGGATCTTCTTTGTGTTCTGGTGCTGTGACATACCTGTACATAAACGCTGGCAGTTCATGAAGTCCAGTATTGTGGAAGTTTGTATGTAAATAAGGATTCCACAAGAAAGTACATATAGAAAAATTAAATGGAAATGATGATTAAAAAAAAATGATTTCCTTATATTCAGTGTCATTTTATCATGGTGTACAGGTTTTGAAAGAGAGAAACTTTACTGAGTTGCTGCAGATCAGCTGTTGAATATTTGTTTCTGGGTATGTCCAGATCGTCCATGGAAACATATTGTTTACAAGCCCAATTACCTTTTCCAGATTTCCAAATAAGATCAAATAGGTTATGCTGTGATTGATTTGTTTACATTAATTGTACAGACAAATAAGGTGCATGAAGTAGTAGACGGAAATATTTTCTGCTTTTTATTTACCATTCTCTTAATTCATTAAAAGATAGAAACCCATGTTTTCAGATTATTGAACTAAATTTGAACAGCGCATAAACGGATAAGTAAAGGCACGCAGCGACTGTTGATAATCTATTTATAGATACCGAAGCGATATGCAACATGACCATGTGGTTGTGTTTCACGAGTTCTAAAAATTATAAACCCAAAACAAAATTCAGTTATCCTTTCCCTGCTTATATCTCAGACGGAGGTGAATTGCCAGATAGATTAATTGATTCAAAGAAATTACGCTTCCTACAGTCTCAGCAGCTAGTCGAGACGCTTGTTCATCGGGCATGTAACTCATTTTCACTCGCCAGTTGTAATCTGCCAGCTAAAATGTATTAAAAATCACATACGTATAACTTGCCTCTTTAAATAACATTCACAAACGACGGATACCAAAGTATCACAAGCAGAATTCATCAACAACGTTCGCAATCACGTAACGTTTCGCCGGCGGTGACGCCATTGTGATTTGCCAGTGGTTGTCCCCCCTAACGTCAAAAACGAAGTGGGCGGGGCTTATCGGCCGAGACTGGATCGGTCTATTTGACGAAACACAAACCTAATATCATTGACGTATTTGACTAGCATCGGTCTATGCAGGGCCACATTACTCAACTGAGCACTGGCGCAACCAGCCCACAGCAGAAACCAGTTCATGTGAAGTATAGTGTCACATGTCGCAAAACGTGGTTATGAATACACAAAATCTAGAGTTTGAAAAGCTTTGAGACTGGGGTAACACTGAGGTTCAACCCATAATGCAGAGAACAAAACTCAGAAAAAAGCCATTTTCAAAATCAGAACATTTATTAAAGCACATTTCGTTTAACCAATATCAAATGTGAAATTCTTTGAAAAGATTGCGCATTGTAACAAGGTGCAGCATGGACGATCCTCCACGCATCTAGTAGCAAGAATGTATGATTTTAGATCCCACTCGTCTGTGATGTAATGCCCTGTGACGGTGATGTAACTGTGGGTGGCACAGCTGGTCCACACATCTGTTGTCAAAGATACGCCAGAGGACTGCTTTAGAATATCCTTCAGCTGAGTTTTGGTGTCTGCATATTCCTTCATAAGGTACTATGGATAGTCTTTGGACATGGTACAATATAGCTTGGATTCAGTGAGTGACAAGAATCACGAAAACCATTACCTTTAACAAAGTTCAAAGGTCTCAGGTCTCTAACGCACATCATCATGGCCTTGCGTGTGAGTGTCTCGTATGTTTTTGAGTCATGCTTTTTCGGTTGTAACCCCCCAAATATCCCTGCATCAGCATGGCTTGCTTTTAGACTGGATTTTGGGAAGAATCGTCCTCACTGACGGACTTGTGTTTCATGTTAAGATGTTTTCTCATTGAGCTTGTTGAGCTCCCTGCATAACTCAACATAATGCCGCAAAGGCGACACTTGGTTTTTTGTTTTAAAGTGTCAAGATCAAAATGGGCCCATACGTTCGACCTTTTATCATCCATGACACGTGGTCACGTTTAGTTTAGACTAGAGTTATTTATCTTTGTCGGGTACTCGAGTCCTGCCATACCCGACCTGTTGCAGGGTACTTGAGTACCCGTCAGAGCCCTACTGTCAACCTTAGGATTATTGGTTCAAAATGATACTTTCAAAGTAAACTGTTTTTTGTACATTAGTTCACTTTGGTTTCAGAACTTGTTTTTGATTTCTCTACACTTTAGAAAATTTCAGTTGTGAGTCATACATCAAGACTTGTGTACATCGAACCTTGTCAGAAATGGGAAGCTATGTTTAACACCTGACTACAGGCTGTTGACTCAACTGTGTTGAGCATCTTGTTGAATGTAAACATTTTCAAAATGGCCGCTTCTATTTCAGCGACAAGCCAGACATCTGGTTTGATGATGTGGACGAGGAACTGATCTACCCGACAAAAGAAAAACCGAAAACTAACATCAAGACAAATTCTAATCTATCACCGATCATCTCAATCAGAAGCTGGTCTTGTGAAGGAACATTAAGTTTAAAGGGTAAGGGAGTCATCATTATTCATCTCAATGTGAAACACAATGTGAACCTTGTATTGCCTCCATGTTGTAGTGGTTAGTCCGCCCGAGGAGAGCGGAAGGTCGTGGGTTCGCCTCCCCTGACCACGCCATACCAAAGACGTTAAAATATGGTACTTGTTGGTCCCTGCCTGGCTTTCGGCATTAATGGGTACAAGGACTGGTCGGCTCGGAGTCAGTATAATGTGTCTGAGTGGGGTATTCATGCTTCACTGTGGCATGGTATCTCAGTGGGCTAGCACTATAAAACCAGCTTAAGTCTGGGCTAGTACAAGCAGCCGCACATACACATGCACACGCATGCACGTCTTCATATGAGCGAAATATTCTCAAGCATGACGTTAAACCCAATTTCACCCCACCTCACCTGTATTGCCACTCACAGCCTACATGTTGGTTTCTGACAGGTGAGGTCAATATTGATCACATGACCTGGCAATAGTGTTCATATGAGTCAATGTTTGAAGTCTCTGTCACTCGTGATTTGATAGGTTTAGGTCATGTCTCTGTTGTGTGGTCAGTATTGAAATAATTATTTTGTCTCATGGTATGAATTGAGCAATTAAATTCAAATATTCTTAACTGAGGCACAAAAGTCCATAACACTTGGCACCGTGAAATGCGGGTGCTTGGCCCAATCTCATTAAAGTCAGACCTGTAAATGATAGGGCTACACCAATTTATGGTGGATAGTTTTGACCAGTGTTTCCACTGGCATTTTTTACAGCTTGACATTGTGACCGGCTGGCATTTCAAATACCGGTCATTTGTAAATTTTACCGGTCAAGTGATCACGCTTTTCATTGTGCATGAGACCTTGCAACCTAACAACCAATCAGAAATGTAGAGGGTATTGCGATGTGTCAATTCTGCTATTTTTTATATTCCAAAACTGCTATTGTTTATTTGACAATAGCTTGATGTCTTTGTGAAAACATAATCCGTTTTCAAGGAGAAATGGAATTGACAGAGGTAATTAGAATATTGATTTTACAATTTGCCGGACACAATGACCAACAGCCTTTTAAATTATTGGACATTCTAACTTTGTACCGGTCTGGTGTATGCGAATAACAGAAACACTGTTTGACAAGCGATTATTTCTATTGTTTTACTTTTGTTTGTTTGCTGTTAGCGCCACCCTCCGCAGTTTTCCATCTTTGTGATGGTAGTCTGTAAATAATTAACTCTGGACCAAACAGTAGTTATTTCTTAGCCCCATGGAAAACTGCGCGGAGGGTGGCGTTAACAGTAAACAAACAAACATAAAACAATAGAAATAATTGTTTGTCAAACTCTCACAGAACATAAATATTTCCTTTATGTGAGAGTCTTGTATAGTTAATATTCAAATTTCAAAATCAAGGTCGTTAAGAAATGAAGCCAATAGTGAGATTATTAGCAGTCAGTTTGCTTGGTGTTCATCTGTTACGATCTTCAGTTCAGGTATCTTTGTAGAAAGAGTCTGTATCTGAGTGAAAGATCTCATGTTAGTGAGACATGCAGTCTGACCTATTGTGCATTCTGCTGTGTGGAGTTGCCTCCCTTGGGCACAGCAGCAATCTATGACTGTGGCTTCAAACCCACTTTGTCCTGAATATATTTCTGGGCCTGTGAGTACCGTACCCATGTTTGGGGTTTAACAAATGAGGAAAATGTCCAAGAAAAACATAATTCAGACTTTCCTCCAACATCAAGCGTACCTGCCTTGACTGTAATACAGTTTCAGGAGTGATTGATTTAACGCCACTTTTATGCCACTTTATCAATATTCCAGCAATATCACGTGAAAGCACACCAGAAATGGTCTTCACACTGAACCCATGTTGAGAATCAAACCAGGTTCACGGTGTGATGAGTCAGTGCTTTGACCACTAGGCTACCCACGAGCCCTACTGTTCAGATGATGTTAAACTATTGTAGCTCTGTCCACGCTGAGGATATGTTTATTCAATGTTCACATGATATACTTTTCAGCGTGACAAAGGCTGTAGCCTTGGACTGTGAGATGGTGGGAGTGGGGGAGAAGGGCAAGGAGAGTGTCTTGGCTAGAGTGTCTGTTGTCAACCAGTTTGGGGAGTGCCTGTATGACACGTTTGTCCGCAGTCGGGAGGAAGTGGTGGACTTCCGGACACAGTGGAGCGGAGTGACCCCCGACAAACTGGTAGACGGTGAGTTGGACACACAATGAGTGAGTGAGTGAGTGTAGTTTTATGTCACATTTTGCAATATTCCGGCAATATTATAGCAAGGGGACATTAGAAATGGGTTTCGTACATTGTACCCATCTACCCGGATCTTAGCGTTTACTTGTTTAGGGTGCATACTTTACACACACATTTACGGATGGTCTTGTAAACTATGTGTGTACATGTTATTATGCTATGACCAGCTGATATGACAAAGTTGATGGTATTTCTTCAATAGAATAACACCACCACAAGACACAGATGGTTTACAGACTATATGCAGTAATCTTATTCCATTTAACATGAAGGTGTGTGTGGGTGTGTGTGTAGTGTTAGTGGTTAAAGTGTTCACTCTTCACAATCGAATATCCAGGTTTGATTCCCCACATGGTTACAATGTGTGAAGTTGATTTCTGGTGTACCTGCATGATATTGCTGGAATATTGCTAAAAGTGGAGTAAAACTCGTACTCACTGATAATCATATTACATGATACAATACTGAACTCTTCCTTTTCTATAACTGTCTATGTGTGCTTGGGGAACTTTCAAAGGGAATGGAGTACTGGACAGCCAGGGTTTATTACTGGCCTGTTTCTGTGTTGCAGCATCCGACTTCATGGATGTCCAGAAGAATGTGAGTGACCTCATCTCTGGACGTATACTTGTAGGTCATGCCATTCAGAATGATCTCAAGGTAGGTTGCTCAGTGTTAGATATTACCTTTAGAAGAAAGTAGATTAACTGATCATATGGAGCTCAGTGTTGACGATTCTGTCCTAAGAACATTACCTGAAGTATGTATGTTAAATGATGATCATATGAAACTCGGTATTGAACATTATTCTATTGAGACTGGCATCCTCATTGATGAAGTGTATCATATCTTCATTCTTTTTACGGGACGGTGGGTTTGCCAAGTGGTTAAAGCATTTGCTCGTCATTAGGGATGTCACGATGCATCCATGTCACGATTCATTACGTATCACGATACCTATTTTGTGGCATTATTGCATAAATTTAGTTACATTTTGAACATTAATATTTCATATTTTATAATTGTCCATGAAAAGGTCAACATTTTCTATTCTAATTTCCCATCTTTGTGCATGAAAAATAATCATTTATAACTCTCATAACAACGAAAAACATGATACAATTGCAAAATGTAAATGATACATAAGTATATTTAAACCGATACTTTCCAAACTAAATATCAATACAGTTTTGAATGTATTGATAATTGTATCATCTTAGAAAAAATATAAATGCATCGATGTATCGTGGCATCCCTACTTGTCATGTCAAAGACCCATGTGTGAAACCTTTTCTTGGAATCTTGCTAAAAGCAGTGTAAACCATCCTCACTCACTCCATTTCACTACGGTATATACCCTGGCTCATTTCCCAACCATAGCTTCGTTTCTGAAGTGACAGCACCATCTCCATTTGTTCACATTGTCTTATCATGGAACATCTTCATGATTTACCGTAGATCACTAACCTATGTTACAAGGTGATTTCTAAATTGAACTTAATTAGATAACCCAGAAATAATTCATGCAGAAATCTGTGACCACACAAGGTCATTGAATAAACAACAAATTATAGTGACACAAGAGGAATTTGTTGGTAAAATAAATGGCAGCTGCAATAAGAAACAGGCCATAGAATTAGTATGCACTCGTCTCCTGACTGTCGAAACATTTCTCAGTGAATTGTCTTGCAACAGATCTGTCTCTGCTCTTGAATCTACAATAAATTGGTTGGAATTAAGAGTTTTGAGACAGGTATCCCATCTGATCTTTGCAAGTAGATTATAAGCAAGAAGGGTCGAAAAAGTTCTTGAATCAGTATCAGTTCACCACCTTGTGGGTACGACCATAGCGGGAAACAATGGAGACTTACAACACTTCTGGTTTTCCTCCCTCAGGGATTCCCCTGGGCAACCAGATGGGTGAAAAAAAGGGGCCGTTTTTGAAAAGAAAATTGATGTTAGAAAAATATTCCACTGATTCAAAAGCAATTAAATATCAATCAAACCCATGTCAGTATGGGATAATGATCTTCATGTTGAAAATTAAAGAATGTCAATTTGCATTAATGAATTCATATATTACCTTAGTGTAATTTAATTTTAGACTTTTTGTACATAGGTATCCAAGTTTCTGTTTATGTTATCAATCATGAGAATCAGTGGCATGCTGTTGCATCATATCAACCAAACAGCAAAACAGACAGTATTTCTGTGTCAGGGCAGTCTCTGCTCCCGGTATCTCTCGAACACTGATTGTTTCCATGCTGGACCACTGCGCTCGTGTCATCAGGTCAAATGAAAATGTGTAACTGAGCATCTCATTCTGTGTCTCCAGGTGCTGTTCCTGGATCACCCTGCCAAGGACATCCGGGACACATCTCGATACAAGCCGTACCGCCAGATGTTCAAAGGCAGGACACCATCGCTGAAAAACCTCACCTCCAGACTCCTGAGTGTGAAGATCCAGACAGGGGAACACAACTCTGTATGTCACATGGTCTTGTATAATTGCCCATCCGTGTATATCTCTGTCAGTTAGCTACTCCAGTCCTGCATACTAGTGACCCAATCGTTTATAGAGTCTGCAATTTGCAGTGCTGAGTTGTCTCCCTTTGGTATCAGTGTTTGCCCTGGGCATAGAAATTTAGGAGTCATCATGACTCCCTGGTGTCATGAGAGGGAGTCATGGACATGTTTTTGGGAGTCAACTTCAGTTTGGACCTTTCATCAAGACATCAACTGTGATTGTTTAATTACAACAAAAAACAAGTTAAGGCAGGTCAGGTATTTAATCAGCACTGAGCAGTTAATAGGCAAACATTTAGTTTTAGAAGTTTAGATTATCTGAACTAAGGGCTCAGTAGCATTGCGTCAACAATGACGCAAGCTTCTAAATTCACTGCTTATTTGAGATATTTGTTAGTCAAATACGCTGGTTTTCTGCGTCATGGCAAACACTGGGCATGTATACAACTTCCAGTCATGGGTTCAAATCCCAGATTTGTGCTCATCGGTTTCAAGCGGGAACTTTAAAGACCTGTATCACTTCAAGCTTTCCTCGACAGCCGAAGCTAACACGGGATGCAACTGAAATACTGTTCCAAACAGCCTTTAGCTTTTTATATTTGCTAAATCGGGCTTACAGATGGTCTTTGTAACCAACATATCAATGTCATTGTATCCCAATAGTATGGATCAATGCTCATGCTGTTGATCACTGGATTGTTTGGTCCAGACTCGACCGCCATCATATAGCTGGAATATTGCTGAGTTCGGCATAAAACAACAAACAAAGAAACACCCACGAATATGCTGAAAAATAACGGCAAGTATGCAGTTGGTGTAGGTGGGCAAAGTTCTGGTTGAAATTTCCTTTATGAGACTTTTTGTTGTGATATATGCTGGTAGTGTGAAACTACCCCTCACTTCACTTGCAACTAGTGACTCTCTCTCTGTGTGCAGATAACTGATGCCCAGGCCGCCATGAGGCTGTACACGCTCAGCAGACAGACCTGGGAGAAGGATCTCATGAACAGGAGGAGACGCAGGAGGCCAGACAAAAAGAAGAAGAAAATAAATGATAAATGATGAATTTGTACTCCATGTTTGTTTTTATTAATGAGATAAGTTTACACAAATGAGGCTATTTGACATGTAGGATCTCCCAGGTCACAAGTAAACCAAACACTTTCCGATTGCCTCCGTGGTCTGGTGGACCCTGCATCTGCATGGAGGGCTGAGTTGAGTAAGTGAGTGAGTATGATTTTCTGTCCCTTTTAGCACTACTTTAGCAATATGAGGCCAGCTGACACCAGAAATACACTTCACACATTGTACCCATGCAGAGAAATGAACCTATGTCAGGTAGGAAGGCTCAAGACAAGTGGTTCAATTGTCTTTGAGAGATGATATTTGTTACCATCTCTGGTGCTCTGTCTGTCCTTAGAGCATAAGGTGTCTCGAGGCAGTGAGGTCGCAAGCCAAGTGGTTCCAGCAATCGTTTATGCTGAAGACCTGGGGTTTTATTCCACATGGGTAGTATGTGTGGAACCCAATTCTGGAGTCCCATGCCGTAATATTGCCGGACTGTTGCTAAAACTGGCATAACACCTCACACACTCACTCACTCACTCTCACCCACTCACTCACTCAACAACCATCAGTTGGTCATGTAAATATGTCCATCCAAAATAAATCCCCCAAATCATTCATAATCAATTTTGATCGGTATCAGTGCAATACTCTTGAATGCGAAGTAAAATCTCATGACAACCCACCTCCAGATTATCCTGCATCCCCCAAGTATTATCTAAACACAGTCAAAGTCACTGTCCAATCCACCTCTAACTTATCTGAAGACCAGTCAACTTTAAACAAACCCTTTCTTGTAATCTTGAGTGTAGGGTCTTAAAAGAAACCGCGGTGGTAAATCTTCAGCATACATATGTATATGTTCAGATGTTTACCCATTTATCATTTAACTAAAACATTTATCCTTACATGAGGTTCTTACATAAAACCGTAAGTCATACCCCAATGAAATAATTATGCAAATTAGATAACCGGAAGTGGAGCGCGGTTTGATTTGAAAACTAAATAGTGAAATTATACCCGAGATGAAAGTGACAGAGAATCGTTGTTTTCTGTATTAAAGTATTCAGCAAAAGTACTTTTCTCTCAGCGAGTGAATATGCCAAAAATAAGGTAACAGCTATTTTATTTTGGTTCACATGCCATGGGAAAACCTATCACCACTACGCTGCCTACGCACAATATACGTAATATTTCGTCATGTTTCTCATGTCATTTATAAAAGGGGAAACAGTAATGAGAAACAGAGGTATAATATAGGAAATATATACCATGTCTCAGTTGATAGGTC